TCATACCAACCCTAGGTCCAACAGAACGAAACACTGCCCGGTCCTGCGCCATGCTCACAATCGTTGTTGTGCTTGAGCCCATTGTTGTAGCCACTGTGTCAATCCATCTCATTGAAGGTCTTCCTCTTTTTCGTTGACCCTCTACTTTACCAAGCATGATATCCTTCTCCAGAGACTGATCCCTCCTGATAACATGTCCAAAGTATGTCTCACCATCCTTGCTTCTAAGGAGCATTCTGGCTGTACTTCTTCCAAGACAGATTTGTTTGTTGTTCTGGCAGTCCATGGTATATTCAATATTTTTCACCAGCCTCACAATTCAAAGGCATCAATCTTTCTTTGGTTTTCCTTATTCATTATCCAGCTTTTGCATGCATATGAGGCGACTGAAAACACCACAGCTTGGGTCAGGCACACCTTAGTCTTCAAGGTGACATCTTTGCTTTTTAACACTTGAAAGAGGTCTTTTGAAGCAGATTTGCCCAATGCAAATGAGTTGTCTGATTTCTTGACTGCTGCGTCCATGGGCATTGATTGTGGATCCAAGTAAAATTAAATTCTTGACAACTTCAGCCTTCTGTTTATCATGACGTTGCTTACTGGTCCAGTTGTGAGGATTTTTGTTTTCTTTATGTTGGGGTGTAATCCCTACTGAAGGCTGTAGTCGTTAGGACTGCTAACCGAGGACACTAGGGAGAGACTGGAACACTCATTTTTGCTTGCTGTTCCTCTTAGCATGACTTTAACAATGACCTTGTACTCCACAGTGGCAGTTGGTTGTAATGTCTCAGAACCGGCCTCATTTTGCTAAGAGACATTAGCATCCACCAGGCAGTGGCCTTTTCTCAGGGAGCCATCAACTCTATGAGGCCTCTCCTGCAAACCTCTACGTTCTAGTAACCTCAGCATTTTCCCTTTGTTCTCCCTGCCTTAGTGGTGTTAGCTGCTTCCTCTGTTTCCCCTTGTAGCTTTTTTTTTAAAACTCTCCAATAACTAATTAACCAATACCTTATATTAAATTCTCTTTGTTGAAATCCCTAGTGTGGTTTCTGTTTTCCCAGCTGGACCCTGACAAATGCAGTACCTCATACCAAAAAGGGTCCAACCCACCTGGATCTGCTGGGTCAGAAGTCCCAAAGGAGCAGAGAGCAGCCTGCCCTGCCATCTGGACCTCCTGTAGCGCCTGCTCTTGCTCTGAACCCCTGGACGTACCATTGATTTAACTAGTCCCCTGCAGATGGATGTTCAGGTTGTTTCCAACCTTTTATTATTGTAAGCAATGTGTTTTTAAAAAGAAAAAACATCTGTTGCCATTGAGTTGATTCCGACTCATAGTGACCTATAGGACAGAGTAGAACTGCCCCCATTGGGTTTCCAAGGAGCAGCGGTGGATTCAAACTGCCAATTTTTGGGTTAGCAGCTGAGCTCTTAACCACTGTGCCACCAGGGCTCTAAACAACGCATTGAACAACCTTATTTTTTTTTTTTTACCACATATGTATTAGATATTTGTGAGATAAATGTATAGAGGTGGGATTGCTTGGTCAAAGGGATTGCCAAATTGCCCTTCACAGAGGTTGTACCAATTCAGTCCCTCACAAGCAATAAACAGAGATCTAATTGCATGAGAAACAGAAAAATCAACAAAGGGAAGAGGGAGGCAGATATGACACTCTTGTGCCATAACAAGGCCTTGGCTGATGGAAGAGAGAGGAACATCTAAGCACAGTATGAGATCTTGGGGAATTACTTCTGGCCTAGGCTGCACGGACTTCACTTAGAGTCCTTTTGGAGAGAAGAAAGGCTAAAATACAAATGGAAAACGCTCTCTAAGACACTTTGGTACTCAATACAGGGTAGCACAAAAAGAGAGGAGAGGCGCTTTGCCACAGATCACCAGCAAGGGTTTGGTAGTTGGAGGAGGATTCATGTGGCTGTCCAGTAGCCATGCTCAATGGAACCTCAGCACCAAGCAAATGTGGTTGTGGTGGCCAGCAGCAAGAGTGGCACCTACAGATGCATGGCTTTCGGAACAAGTGGCAATGCTGCTGGGCACAATATATGTGGTAGCAATAGGGACTCCCAGAAACACTTGGTTGGGACTTTGTAGGGTGTTGGGTCTGTTTCCTGCAGTAGCAGAGAGGATAAGAGATGGTAAACCACAGGCGACAAAACTCATTTATTAAGCTTGTCCCATTTTTATTTCTACATCTTTGCCTCAAACACGGGGGTAGGCTTTTGTTTAAAAACAACAAAGTAAATTATTCTTCCTCAAGCCCTTATAACAGGTCTCTAGCAAACCTAGGTCGTGACTAGGTTACTCTTACAATCTTTCGTTGTTGTTATTGTTTATTCTCTACTCAGAGGAGCTCAACTGCAGTTATCATTGCCCTCATTTAGCAGACAGGTGACGATCTGCTCACCTTTGCTAATTTCACCTTAGCATTATGAGGTAACAATGCTATGTGTACAGAGCTGTGTCTCTCCTACCCTGTAAGATCTGGGCTGCCTTCCTGCAGAGCACTTTTATGTTCCACTGGTCTTGTTTGTGCCATTCTTAATTTACACAACAGAGATGCTGTCATTGCCAATTAACATTTATCAAGGGCCCCCTGGATTCCTGGCTGCACAGGAACTAATTTCATATTCTCTTTAAGATATCAGGTAGTGCCTTCAAATGAATTTTTAAGTATCTCACTGGTGACAGAAAAGAACAGAGATATCAATTAGGATTCAGGAATACAAGCCTTTGCAGAAAATGCTTAAAGGAGAGCATCAAGGATTTGTGTTAATATTTGAAAATTTAAAAGAGGGTATACTTTTTTTTTTTTTTTAAATTGTGCTTTAGATGAAGGTTTACAGAGCAAATTAGTTTCTCACTAAAAAATACACATATTGTTTTGTGACATTGGTTGCTAACCCTGTGACATGTTTCTCCTCTTCTTGAACTTGGGTTCCCCATTTCCATTTGTCCAGCTTTCCTGTCCCCTCCTGGCTTCTCGTCCTTGCCCCTAGACTGGTGTTCCCATTCAGTCTCGTATACATGGTTGAGCTATGTGTATTATTATTTGTTTTATGGGCCCATCTAATCTTTGGTTGAAGGGTGAACCTCAGGAGTGACTTCAGTACTGAGTTAAAAGTGTCCGGGGACCATAACTCTCGGGGTTTCTCCAGTCTCTGTCAGACCAGTAAGTCTGTTTTTTTTTGGTGAGTTTCAATTTTGTTCTACATTTTTCTCCAGCTCTGTTTGGGACCCTCTATTGTGATCCTGTCAGAGCACTCGGTGGTGGTAGCCGATGGACTCAGTCTGGTGGAGGCTGTGGTAGTTGTCGTCCATTAATCCTTTGGACTGATCTTTCCCTCCTGTCTTTGGTTTTCATCATTCTCCCTTGCTCCAGATGGGGTGGGACCAGTGGAGTATCTTAGATAGCCGCTCACAAGCTTTTAAGACCCCAGATGCTGCTCGCCAAAGTAGGATGTAGAACATTTTCTTTATAAACTATGTTATTCCAGTTGAGCTAGAATTCCCTCAAGACCATGGTTCCCAGCCCACAGCCCAGGAATTCGGTCCTTCAGGGAGTTTGGATGTGTCTATGAGACTTCCAAGACCTTGCCTTGGTCAAGTTGTGCTGACTTCTCCAGTATTGCATCCTATCTTACCTTACACCAAGTTATCAGTTATCTGTTAGCTAGTTAGTGTTTGTCCCTCCCAACCCCCACCCCGGAACAATCAAAGATGGTTTCTTTCCATGTGTAAACCTTTTCATGAGTTTTTATAATAGTAGTCTCATACAGTATTTGTCCTTTTGTGATTGACTTATTTCACTGAGCATAATGCTAAAAGAGTGTATACTTATAGTCAACAAATGACAAAAAGCAAAAGGTACTGTATTCATTATTCCTGGACTAATGAAGCCTGGCAGCATTCCATTCAGATACCTGTCCTTTGATCGTCCTATTTTCCTCTATTTATTGAAGTCCTTGTAATCTTCAAGGCTGAGTCTGAGTATTTCTTCCAGAGGCTTTTTCTCATCATCTCTGTCCTCAGGAATGACTCCTTCCTCCAAACTCCTGTAGCCCTTATCATTTACACTTCTCATTTCAAAACTTAGCACATGATACTATTTTTGAATAAATATATGTATATTTTCTCCAAGTAAATTAGAAAACTGGACAATTTCTTTCCCAATCTTTAGGGTCAGCACAGTGTTCTGCCAATGGTAGAATCTCAAGAAATACTTGATGATGATGGCAACCGTCTATTACTAGCAGATGGAATTTTATTTAAAAAGGGTGGGTGAGTTGAGACTGAGGAGTAACTTTAACAAAGGTTTACTAATTTAAGTGCTGTATATGTACAGCTTTTTTGGGGGGAGGGGGGATTAGCGGAAGAGAACATCATTGAAAGAAGACAGGAGCTTGTCTTTTAAGGTTCAATAAAAAATTTTCTTCACCTGCCTAAGCTATCTTTATTTTTTGGCCCATCCCTTTTGATGGGACAATAAATTCTGTAGTGTTGCTGTCGGTTGCAGGAACTGATATTTAGGAGAATAAACCTGAACACTTTAAATTTCAGAAAAAGACATTCGGTTCCTTTATACATTTTGGAATTAAGAACACACCTTCATGTTTCATGATGTTAAGAACATCGGCCCAGCGACGTTGGCTACGTATCATTCCCCCCAGAACGCAGACCCTTTCTTACACAGGATACTCTAGTACTAGAAACCGTTGATCCCCTCGCGGGCGAAGCTCCTGCAGGGCCCCGCCCACTCCGCTTCTGGGAGCCTCATTGGCTCGTCTTCCGCCCTCCACTTCCCGCCCGCCTTCTGGATTTGGCACGGGAGGTGGGCGTCCTCCTTTTGGGCACTGATTGGTAGAATTTTAATGACGGCGAAAAAGTCTCCGACTCTCTATTGGTCCTTAGTCTTGAAATTGGGCGGGGAATGGCAGAGCGACAGGTCTCAAGGCGTGGAACGCGCAGTGCGCCGGCGCGTAGTCCGGGACGCTGGGTTGAAGGTTTTCCTAGGGAACTGATTGTTGTCGCCCCGCCCCCTCGGGGGGCTCTTTGTCCCGTTAACTGTCCGAGTGGCGGGGCGTCAGCGCTGGGCGACATGCCGGTGCGCTTCAAGGTGAGGCCGGGGTTTCTGGGCCTGCAGGCGGCTGGGGAGAGCCGCGCCTGGGAGGTTGCGGGACGCGGGGGCCGAGCTGGCTTTCTGCGCCGCGCCCCTCGGCCGGGCAGAGGCTGCCAGCCCCGAGCCTGCTGCGGTCCTAGAGATTACTCGTTTCCTCTTACCTAGCTCCCTCTCGGCTCACACAGACTTCCAAGTTGCCGCGTGGAAGTGTTAGATGGTATTGATATAGAATTATTTTGGGGGCGTCTACCGGGGAGGAGGGCACTTTATAATGAGAACTAAATGCGACTTCCAATTGGACACACATGGCCCATCTCAGCCTAGCATTTAACCCCTCTTCCCTTTAAAACTTTGAAGTGTGTGTATCTTTTAAAGGCTTGAGAAATAGATCCTTAGTAAAGATAGAGTATAATAAATACATATTTTTCATAGTTGTGCATTTATTTTAGAGTTTTTTTTTTTTTTTTTTTAACAGTTCAGGTAGCTGGTAGCTGTCAGGGACTAGCACCCTTCAGCATAACAGGTGACCACAGCCTTCCACAAGCCCAACCTTATTCTTTTATCTTAAGGCTTGTGTCCAGAATGGGAGGAGAGTTTGTCTGGTGTTGATTGACTTTACCAAATTTTGGAAAGGTACTGGGTATAACATGTAATATTGTGTACTCGGTGAGAATTTAATTAGGTACTCCATAATGGTTAGGATTTAGATTATCACCTGTTACCAGACAAGAGCTTAGGCTTTGGGATCAATCAGAGAAAGCATAGTTTCTCTGAGCCTCGGATACCTGCTAGCATCTGCCTCAAGTGGTTGTGAGGATTAAAGGAGATAATGCATGTGAACTGCTTAGCCAGGACTTGGTAAATATTAGCTATTATTAAGGCGCTGTTTGTGTTTAATGATCAATTTTAAGTCTTTCAACTCTTTTTGGAGGCTCAGAAATAATCTTTATTGATATCTTTTTTTAAACAATATTTATTAATTGCATGGTACTCGAATTATACTTTACAGGGGCTGAGTGAATACCAGAGAAACTTCCTGTGGAAAAACTCGTATTTGTCAGAGTCCCATAATCCCTCAGTAGGACGAAAGTACCCATGGGCTGGACTTAGATCAGATCAATTAGGTAAGTTGAGCAAACTAACGTCATAACTTGAGTAAATCTGGTCTAACTTTGCAGAACCACTTATTTAAAAAATTGTGAAGCATTGTTCAATTTGCCTGGTTGACTTACTCATTAGTTTATTTAACAAGTATTTATTGAGGGTTTACTGTGGATCAGGACTATTACCAGCTGCTAGGAATGTAGCCTTGGACTAGACAAAGCCCCTTAACTATAGGAGAAACAGTAAACAATCAACTGAATAAATAAACAAGGAGATTTTAGGTTGTTACATAAAATCGTAGGATAATGTGATAGATAACTTGGTGGGGGTGGGGGAGTCATTTTAGATTCCATGGTCAGGAGAGATCCTTCTGAGGAGGTGATATTTGACCCTGGACTTGAAAGCTGAGAAGGGACAGGCCTGAGGAAGAGTACTCCCAGGGTACTGGGGAATGGAAGCTTCGATAGATTAAGTAGTTTGCTCAAGGTTTGCTGCTAGTAAGTGGCGGAACCAGGATTTAAAATCAGGTCATCTTTGTTCAAAGATGATGAGTTCAGAGCGCATTTTCTTGTCATCACACCGGCTTTCTCTCCATGTCCCAGGGAAGTCAGGGCCCTGGGCCAAGGTTTCCTAGAGTATGGTAGGAGGGAAAGGAGTCAGACTGACTTTATTGTAACTGCCTATTTAATTTTCCCTTACTAGAATATAAGTTCTCCAAGAGAAGGACTTTGTCTTACTTGCTACCCTTTCCCCATCCAGTATGTAACACAGGGCCTTGGCATACTCCAATGTTTATTAAAACTAATTTTTGAATGAATGAATAAACATGAGTTTGAATCCACAAGAGCTGTGTGACTTTGGGCAAACTGAGCTTGTTTTGTCAGGTTGGAATAAGGATGCCTATAGTATAGGATTGTTGTGGGGGCTTAAATGAGATGTTGCATGTTAAGACCTGGCATATATTCACATCATCACATCAGCATTTGGTGCCCTGTTTGTGCCTTGTGAGAGTACCTGGCAAGTCGCTCAAATGTTAGATGTTTGAAGTCAGGAAAGTAAAAGATGTATGTGTCAGGTGCTAAGCCTGGAAAGTTAATAAGATGAGAGAGTTTCCAGGATTAGGTTTGGAGAACAAAGGGAAAGGTGGTTGTCTTAGTCATCTAGTGCTGCTCTAACAGAAATACCACAAGTGGATGGATTTAGCAAAGAGAAGTTTATTCTCTTACCGTCCAGTTGGCTACAAGTCCAAATTCAGGACATCAGCTCCAGGGGAACGCTTCCTCTGTTGGCTCTAGAGGAAAGTCCATGTCATCAGTCTTCCTTTGGTCTGGAAGCTTCTCTGCGCAGGAACCTCAGGTCCAAAGGACACACTCTGCTCCCAGCACTGCTTTCTTGGTGGTATGAGGTTCTCATGTGTCTCTGCTTGCTTCTCTCTTTTATATCTCAAAAGAGATTGCATTAAGACACTAATCTTGTCAACCTCATCAGTATAACCTCATCACAGTGCTAGAATATATAACACATGAGGAGATCACATATAATCTCATCATAGTGGTAGAGTTTACAACACATAAGGAAATCACACCATCTAATACTGGGAATCATGACCTAGCCAAGTTGCTACACACATTTTTTGGGGGACACAGTGCAATCCATGACAGTGGTCTAGAGTGGGTGGCTCTTTTAGGGTTTCTCTGGAGCATCAGGATTCTTAGCCCAGGGCCTGACTTCAGAGACTGGTGTCCCTTTTCCTCAGGAGTGGTGGTGGGCGTGCCCCTCTGCTCATAATTCTCTTTCCAAATGACCAGAAATTCTACAAATTTGCATTTCCATTAGATTAAGAATAGGATACAAATCCCTGTTAAAGTGTAGACATCTCACTGAGGGCTTAGAGGCATATTATGACACTGGGGAATTGGTTAACCAGATAGCAGCCTCCATAACATTTCAGCTGCATTTGAAGGTAGTGTGATAAAACGAGGCCACAGGAGCAAACTACTTTGGAGCATGGCACATTATGAAGGAAGGAATGACCTAGATAACAGGTGGACTCTGTACTCCTAGATTCAGAGGGGTGAGAATGCCATAGTGTGCAGAAAGGGAGGTAGGAGTTTAGCAAGGAACGGCAGCACTTTTACCTAGGACTGACTGTACATGTTTTTAGTGTATTTTTTCCCCTGGAATCCTTGGGTGAGGCAAATGGTTAATGTGCTCGGCTGCTAACCAAAAGGTTGGTGGTTCAAGTCCAACACAGCAGGGCCTTGGAAGAAAGGCCTGGTGATCTAATTCTGAAAAATCAGCCACTGAAAACCCTGCGGAGCTCAGTTCTACTCTGGCACACATGGGATTGCCATGAGTTGGTATCGACTTGATGGCAACTGGAAAAAAAAATTTTTCCCCTGGGTATTCACTGGTGCTGGGAGATAAGAACAGACTACTTGAGAATCTTTCACTTTCATTTTTCTTTTCTCCCCGAAGCCCGGCTCTGTGTTAAAGCAGGAAGAAATCTAGGGCAGTTGGTCTTCAAACTTTTTTGCTTTCATATCCCCTAAAGGAATTGAGAAAATCTTTGTATCCCCTTACACATTTTTAAATTATTATTATTGTTGTTTCCAGTGAATCCTTAATTAAATTATCCACATATTTTCTGTCAGATTGTAGATTTTCCTCTGGAATTTTTCAGCATGGGAAATTTATTGTACAGGGACGTCTTTACAATATTCATAGTCTAGATTTTACCGAAGGAGCGTCACAAACAGAGAGACTGCTACAGAGTGCATCCAGTAACACTAAGAGCTGAGAGAGCAAGCTGCATTATGGCAGAAACTTCTAGTTCCATGGCCTCAGGGGGAAGCTGGGGGAGAACAGCCCGAAACAGAGCTCAGATTGGGTCTATACACAGGCAAGGCAGACACACTCACAAGAAGTAGACTGGTTTGGCCCTCGCACATTTTTAAGTTGATATTTAATTTATCGTAAGTTTAATGAATAATATCAAAGGATGTGATTTCTGGTATATTGAGTAGTATATACCGTACATGTTTTAAATATATTTTGTTAAAACTTTGGGGCTGCTAATTTTAGCTCATTCAATTTATGGAAAATGTTCATCATATAATTGACAAAGGCAGTCCTCATTGACAAACTAACCAGCCAAATTAGACTTAGTTTCTGTGAGAAAAAAAGTCTAACTTTATTTTTTACTTCAACTAAATGTGTTAATATGAACTCAACATGATAAACGTCTTAGGCCTGAATTTTAATGCTAGGATCGGTGAATGGAAAAGGCGCAAAGCTGGTTGAAATAAGGCTCTGTCCCTTAGTTATTACCAACCTCTGCCTCTTTGCTTTGCTGTCACGTATTCTCCCTCGGGAGTTATACTTTCCTCCCTCAGGAGTTATACTTTCTCCAGTTGTCCCTTCCCACCTGCCCCCAACCCCGAGATTTTTTTTTTTTATGCCTTGGGGTGATGCACCATAGTAAGTTTCAGGCAGGTTGAGAGGTGTGCCTTTCTTTTGTAAAGTGGGAAAAGGGTGATTTAGAAATGGGCTGTGGGAATGAAACTACAGATGATAGGTGCAGCTCTCAGGCAGATTGGTGTTAGGAAAAAGTACACATGGTAGTTGAGCATTTGGAAAATCATCCCGTTAAGCTTCCCATTTCTGTCCTCCTCCCTCCCCCAAAATGTCTTTGTGTGCCTCAAGACATGTATGCAGCACCCAGTTTGAAGACCATGGGTCTAGGGAAGCCTTCTAAGGATTGAGACCTGGGGTTCGTTGGCCGAAACATAGATGATAGAGACTAAGGAGCTCTGGGCTTTACGTCATGCTGTAGTTTCTGTCCACCGTCATGCTCCTCTCCTTCCATTCTCATCTTAATTTTCCTTCCCCACCCTGCACAGTCTTCTATTTAAAGAATGGCCCTGAACTAGGGCAGTGTCTCAATGGCTGTCATTCTGTAGAGCTCCTCTAACCTGGGTAGAGAGTTAAGTTTTTTGGACATTTGCTTGACAGACAGAAATATAGAGAAATCGTATCTTAGCTCTAGGTAGAAGGGTTCATTCTTTTTAATTCTTGGGAAATCAAGGCTCATATAGAACTAAGATTCAGCATAATGACATCTCACCCTTCTCATCTTGGTCTATTCTGCATAAGAGAAGCTTTGTGAAAAGTTCCAAATTTTGACAGTACCAAGGCCCATTTGTTCTGTTAAGTAGCACAGGAAAGTAATTAGAAGCTGAGGCAACATGTGCTGCCTGGCCTGCCAGCTCCTTCCCATTGTGATTCTAGCAGCTTGTGTTAAGATAATTGGAACATTGTGACCCCGATTTGTAATTTTTGTTATGGTTAAACTTTTCATACTTCTTTAAGGCACACTTAAAGACTTTATGTTGAAAAACTTACGTATGTTTATCCTGTAACCTGAAAGATATTTTATATGGATCAGTTGAATTTTAAGTTCAATTTCTTCTCTCGTAGGTGCGATTAAAGATTATCTTTGTAACTTGGTGCTTTGTAGCTGCTATTTTTATATACTGTGTTTTATAGGAATCACGAAAGAACCAAGTTTTATTTCAAAGAGAAGAGTCCCTTACCATGACCCACAGATTTCAAAATCTCTTGAGTGGAAGGGATCTAACTCAGAGAGCAATGTGGTGTCACCAGAACCTGAAGCCTCAGTATCGCAAGAGGCAGAACAAAAAGAAGATGTTAACCAGGAAGAAGTTCTCCCACTGGAAGTCTCCAAAGTTCCCAAGAGAACCAGATCTCACTCTGCAGACTCTAGAGCTGAAGGGACTGTAGACCTTGTGGAAAAGAATGAGGATGTAATAGCAAACCATACACCAGTTAATGAAAATGTGGAACTGGGACACTCTACCAAGCTTCTTGCAGGAAAAGTGGATAATGGGGTAGGCACAGTCACTAAAAATATAGAATTTTTTTGTAGGATTCGTCATTATTTCAGTATTAGATTTGGTACTTAAAAAAATTTTCATCTTTTTTTCCTAGTGTCTAAAGAATAGTTGTTAAGAGGTTACTGATGTTAATTATTGTGAATTAGTTCTATTCTTAATACTTACTATTTTATATTGGGTATACTAAGATAAGGAGCCCTGGTGGTACAATGGTTAAGAGCTTGGCTGCTAACCAAAAAGTCAGCAGTTTGAATTCACCATCTGCTCCTTGGAAACCCTATGGGGCAGTTCTGCTCTGTCCTGCAAGGTCACTATGAGTTGGAATCAACTTGATGGCAACGGGTTTGGTTTGTTTTTTTGTATACTAAGGTATCCCTTCATTTGGTGGACAGCCTGCCTCTGGATTTTATTCATCAAGTATCAGCACCTCAGTCCTAAGGGAGAGATCAAGTTGAGGCAGAGAAGTGGGGAGGAGGGGGATGGTGTAGGCCATTACTTCTGGCAGGGATGGTGAGATGACTTCTACCTAGCCCCTTTTCAATTTCTTATCTTGTACCAGCAGGAAAACAGAATCTCAGCTGATAAGGTGAAAAAGGAAGGAGAGTTCTGGCTGTAACTCAGAGATCTTGTAGTTCTACTCTCTTATGTACAGCTGGCCTGTGGAAGGTCCCCGCAAGCACATAAGCAGAGGCTTCAGCGTCCCATGCAGGGATCTCACTGCTTCCTGCATTTCTTTCTCTACTCCACTGTTTCTTTCCCATTTCATGTGCACCACTGGCTGAAACCAGAGAGCGGCATTTAGGAGTGTTGGAGAAGAAGCCATGGCTTTTTGAGAAAGCAAGGGGCGCAGGGCGATGTGTGAGCCTGGAGGGCAAGGGAAGGAGTGTCCACAGAAGTGATGGGTGGATAAGGCAAGGTGCTGTGGTTTCTCAATAATAGATTTAATTATCAATAATTGGTAGCGGGGGACTGAGAGATGTATCTTTATCTGGGATGCATAATAATTCCTTGACAGTATTAAGAAAGGAATTTTAAATAGTTTGAAAGTTTAAAAGGGAGATTATTTGTAAGTTGCAAAAAGTTTGAATAGAAATTTTTAATGCCTTTGAGTGGAATTTTCTTTTTTTCCAACAGTTGGATAGACTTCTACGAAAGAAAGCTGGATTGACTGTTGTTCCTTCACATAATACTTTGAGAAATTCTGAATATCAAAGGCAGTTTGTTTGGAAGACTCCTAAAGAAACTGCTCCGATTTTTGCAGCCAATCAGGTAGTTTAACGGGTATAATACATTTTCGAGTATCATTATTTGATATAGTGATGCAGGTTAACATAGAACTATGAACTGAAAGAAATTAGATATTTAAGTAGCTCTAGAGGTAGGTTCTAGAAAAGTAAGAGTTTTGTTACAATCGTCCTGTTACTTTTGATTTATAGTAGTAATATTATACTGTCTTAGGCTACTGATGATCATTGTTACCAGATCCATCACATAAACTAAATGTGAGACAGGGTACTGAATACTTGGGGGCTTGGTAAGTTTTTTGCATGCCGTAAGATTTTTTTATTCATTTAAAAATGTATTAAACTGATTTTATTCTAAAACGTTTTATTTAGTTAACTATTGCATGATTTCTGTCTTCTAAGAAAGACGTCAATGTTTTTGATGTTTATTTTAATAAATACAAAATATGTTTAAAGTAATACAAGGTACATAATTTTGCCCTTGTATTCAGATGTACAGTAATGGAAATTGTTAGTTTAACTATCTTTATAAAATTCAAAAACTATCGTGATAACTAAGTGTGATGATAGTTTGCACCATTTTAGTGTTTGACTACCATTACTAATACTCGGTTGTTTAATACTATCTTCTCTATACAGTTCTTAGGCTCTTAACTCCTGTTTGTGTTCCTAACCATACACCCAGGCCTAGGAAGGAAATACTTGCATTTGGAATATCCCCAGAGGCCCGCGATGATTTAGTCTTTTCTCTCTCCTGGTCTTCATGTTTTTCTTCTTAAACACACACGCACCTTCCCACACTCTCACATTCAGTTTCTTCTGTATCTCACATTCACTTGTATACTTTACATGCCCCTAAGGACTTGAGAGGATAATTAGATTGAGCAAGGCAATAACATTAGCTGTCTTGCGCTAAGGTAATAACGCTAGTGATCTTATAAATTATGGGAGCTTTGGGCTTACTTGCTTTTCGTTGTTTAAAAAAAAAACCTGGAAATTTCTATAACATTGTAGGAACATATGGTAACATAAGATGATATGTACCCATATGAACCTAGTAAATAGGATCAACACTTCTTAAGCTTGTTCACAGATGTTGTTGCACAGGAAATATACCTAAAAAATTACTTGTGACCTAAAAATTGTGTTTATTCTGTTTTTGTAGAGTATTTGAACTTTCACCTAGGGCTGATTCATATCAAAGCCTTATTGGAAACTTTTATATATGTCAGTGAAAGCATTATGTAGAATTGTTTTTATAAGACCAGAAGTACATTATAAAACAAATTACTACCAGTGTCTTCACTAGTAGTTTTATTGCTTTCATTAGTGAGTTTAAAAGAATTTCTTTAGAAGCAAATGGTCTTTGTTGTTCAAAGCATGTCAGTTTCAGCCTTGAAGACTGAATTGAAGACTGCAGCTCTGTGACAGAAGCTTTTAATGCTTGTTAATGGAGGAACCTCTAAAAGAATTGTTCAGTTCTGTTTTATCAAACACCTGTGTTCTGAAAGGATGTCTTATATTAATATGTAAAGGAGCCACAACAATTTTTGGTAGGAAAGTCGTTGAGGTTATACTGTACCAAAAAAGATATATTGTTTGGATTTGATGTGTGTGAAGATGAGCTGTTTAGTGTTATAAAGCAATAAAAAACCTTATTTGATCTCCGTAATCTTTTCCACTTGCTTTCCTTGTGAACAGTGGTAGTATACCAATAAAATGGAGACCATATTGTGAAATATTAAGTATAAAAGGAAGCATTTAAAAATAGAAACATAGTAATTACCTGTTTTTTTTTCCTTGCCTTAAAAAAAGCTAAAAAGCAAGCACATACAAAAACTGAGCAACCTGAACATATCGGATATTCAGAATGTTAAGAATTTTCCGTTGTTGGCTGGAAAAAAAAATCTTGTGAAGGAGAAAAAGAACTGTAGAGTGACAACAGACTTGCCTTATAAAGGCAGTTTTAACAGCAGTCTGCTGATTACTGATGCACATACCATAGTTAATGTCCATGTTCATAGTCTTCAAATACACCTGTTTTAATCATCCCATTATCTCAAACTGATAGCTGGAGGAGTGGGGAACTTTGGGGAGAAAAGATCAAAGTCAAGTATCCTTCAATATTTCCGTTGGGTTAAGCATTTTTATTACAATAACTATTATTCAATACATAGTAATGAGTATAGGAAGTTTACTTTTGGATGTTAATTAGATATATGACATGAAATTGTAATCATAGTTTTACTTGTTTTATATTTTATAATTCAACTTTGTAGAGATTTTTTTAAGATCTAAATTCTGTATATTTAATCAACACAACAAAAAACTAAACTAAAGTAATTTTTGCTTTAAGGTTTTCCACAATAAAAGCAAATTTGTTCCACAATTCAAAGGTAACTCAATCATCCATGAAACTGAATACAAAAGAAATTTCAAGGGCTTATCTCCAGTGAAAGAACCAAAGTTAAGAAATGATTTGAAAGAGAATGGAAATTCCGAAACTATATCCCCTGAAAAGAAGGTATTCATCAACTATTAACCTTACATAGAACAAAATCCTTTTGATTGTAGTCGCGCCATGTTCTGTTTCACTTGCTATTACTTGAGGTTTATTTTCTAGCTAGATAATTAATTTGTTTGTTCTTCAAATATCAGATGTACATTGAGCACCTACTAGGAGCCAGTCAGTGGGTACTTGCTAAGAATAAAAGAATAACAAACATATTAAGCCCCAGGCAGCTCTTGGGCTAGTGGGGAGACAGATAAGTAAATAGCTAAATATAATACCATGTAATGAATAGCCTGGCTATGCAGCTGTTGAGTCTTCTATGGAAATATCCAATGATTGGCCTTCCACTAATGTGAGCTCCAGGGGTAACAATAGTGATAGAAACACGTATTTTAAATTAAATAATGGACAGTATGCACGCACACACACGCATGCACACACGTGTTTTAAACCAAAGCTTTAGCATGCTAAATTATAGCCAGTATAATTCACATAATTTACCTCAGGATATACAAACACCTCCTCCTGTATGAAATTATAGCCATTTAACATGCAGTGTCAGGCTAAAATCATTGTAAATTATAGGTAAATGGGGTAAAAATACTGTTTTTGAATCTCTTGGAATGTTGATAATCTGATACTTTATGAGTCCTAAAAATAGTGTATGACTAAAAGTAAAATGATTCCCTAATATATATATTATATGTGTGTGTGTATATATATGTACATATACATATATACGCTTTTGTTTTTTTTTTTTTTTTTTTTGAATTTATGTCATCCCTGAGGAGAATAAAAGTTTGTTAACTTACTCAGTAAGCACTGCAGTAATTTACTCATTGGGACTTTACATTTAATTCCTGTAATACAATTAAATGTGACTTTAGAATACTAAGGGCAAATGTAAGACCACTGTTTAATAGGTAATAACATCAAACTTATTTATTTATATGTTTGTTAATTTTTTTTTTCCTAGCCAAGGATCTAAAATCTTTATTCTTAGAAAATGAAACTATATCCTGAGCCACACTTCAAAACAACTCATCAGATATACAGGCAGTCCCTGATTATGAACCAGTTCCATTCCTAAGTCTGTCTTTAAGTCGAATTTGTATGTAAGTTGGAACAGTTAGGTACGATTCGTATCTAACGTCAATTAGTCAGATGTTTGTCTTAGTATATAATATATAGTGCAGTACCTTTCTATGCATAAAAATACATTAAAGAAACACTCATGCCCCAAGCCCAGCCAGCTCCTTGGGTCTTGCTGCCCCTGCAGCAGCAGCAGCCCCTGCTCTTTCCCCCCTCCCTTCCCAGCCTAGTGAAAGGATGGGAAACGAAGACAGAGGCCCACCACAGACCACCCTGTGGGCCCAGTGAGCCCCGAGACCCCGACTGCAGGGTCCGTTCAAATGCTTGGAGTTGCGCCACCTGAGGCACAGGACTGGTAGGATGAAGTGTTGACTTCCTGCCAGGGAGCAGTAAGGTGGAGCGGAGGGGGTCTAGCTGCAGGTTAGGGTACAGAACTGAGGGCCTGAGGGTCAGGTGGAAGGGTGAGATGGGCTGAGGAGGCCAGAGTGGGGAAGCCAGGCCAGGGAATAGGGGGCCAGCTGGGAGGCTGGGGCTGGGACTGAGGGGCCAGGAGGCTGGGGCTTGAGGGCAGGCCGAGTGCTGCTGAGCACAGAGCTTCCTCTGAGGTTGACATCAATTATGAACAATTGTATGTATAATAGGCTTTACGGATGTTGGTTCTTAACTAAGGGTTGTATACTAGTAAATCAGAGTTTTGTAACCCGGGAACTGCCTGTACTTGTTTCAAGCCTTGCTTGTTGATTTCTTGTAATTTTTATAGTTAAAGCTTACTCTTAAAAACAGAAAGGTAATATAGTGTCCAGGTGTAATTTTACAGTGTATATGTTTATACTTTGATATATAATTGTTTTAAGCAAGTCTAACTTTATATATTGTCATTTTAATGGTGTATTTTAAGTGTAATTTAAGTTTGGTTTGAATCATTATTTATTTTAAGTGTAATTAAGTTTAATGTATTTTAAGTGTAATTTAAGTTGAAATTATTTCCATTTTAGTGTAATAAAAAAGACGATCCTTTAAAATCAGAAGCAGAGATGGCATCAAAAGACTCAAACAAGCCTAAAAAGAAGCTTACACCTTGGAGTCACCAGAGGCTTGGGTATGTATTTTATAAGAAATACATCATGGTATTTAGATGATCTACATGGCAGAATATTTATTCTCATTTCATTTCTATTAGGAAGGTGAATTCTGAATATAGAGCAAAATATCTGAGCCCAGCTCAGTATTTATATAAAGCTGGGGCTTGGACTCATGTAAAGGAAAACATGCCAAATCAGGTGAGTATTTATAAGCTTAGTAAGCCCATATTTTCTTTTTGGCCTGCATAACAGTTTAATTTCACAATGAGCTTCATATACTAATAGTGACTACAATTAAAGATCTATGTTAAAATAATAGCATCAGAAGTATCAGGAATTTGAAGTTGTATGCATTAGAATATAAATTATTTGTGTGTTTCCTTTTTTTTTTAAAAAAAAACTGGCTCCTTAGATATTAATATTTATTATTAAAGCCTTTAAACTTAAAAATATCTTTTACAGTCAAATATTTGATTATGTTAATAGACTCAGTTTATAGAATTGTAGCATTATAGATTTGATTATTTTATAACATCCAGACCTCCATTCTCCTGACTAAAGATTGATTAATTTTCAAGATTAATGAATTTTCCAAGATTAAATGATTTGTCAACATGTACTCTCATAGTCTGTAAGCAAAAGGAAGAGGGCGTGGCTGTGCTGTTAGAAGTTTCAGTTATAGTGTTGGAATCCCCTGATATATGGTAGAAATGCTGGGGAGCTAAAGAAAGGTTTAAGGGGGAAGGTGATCCTAGAGTTTAGTGCAAGCTTCTTGTAGTCAAAGGATAACAGTGGCCCTTTTTTGGTTGTTGTATAACCAACATCTTTTAAACCGTATCTTAACAGTTTTCTGCCTTTTTTGTGTGAATTTGTGAACAAGCTAGAGTAAAACATTTTAGTGTAGATTAGACATTAAGGTGTTAGTAAACATTTCTACCCTCCCTGCTCCCTCTCACGCCCAACGTCATTGTAAAGAGAGAGATTGGGTGGAGAATAAATTTTTTTAGCTCTGTACTTAGCATCATAAGGAGCCCTGGTGGTGCGGTAGTTAGATGCTTGGCTGCTAACTAGAAAGGTCGGAGCTTCAAACCCACCAGCCGTTCCATAGGAGACAGATGTGGCAGTCTGCTTCCGTAAAGATTACAGCCTTGGAAGCCCTATGGGACTCTTCTACCCTGTCCTATACTGTCACTATGAGTTGGAATCCACTGGAGGGCACACAGCAATACTTAGCATCACGGCCAACAGTTAGGTGAAATCAGCTCTGGGGGCAAGGCGCTGGTTCTTTTTATTGCACGCTCTGAGCTGGTGGTTCCCAGACATATGGCTTGGTGACTTCCTGCGTGCCACATGTCGTTTTGGGACGTTTCTTGATTCTTTCCACCACGGCTGCACTTGGTGCTCTCTACTTCTCTACTTAAGCAAGGCTCTGAGGCAACACAGGCAGAGTAAAAGACAAAGCTCAAAGCTGTCCCAGATATTATCTGGGGCAAAATCCACATATTCACCCTGGTGAAATCAAGTTAAAAATATGAGCATCAGAGTAGCCATGATGTAAGAAAGGAATCAAGCCTGCTAAACTCTCAAGCAGTTCATGACCATTCCAGACCTTGGAGAGTAGTTCTGTGTTGGGAGTCTGACAGGGAGTGAGGAAAAGCCAGGGGCAAAAGGAGGGTGCGGTGGCCACAGAGGGCTAGTGTGGCCAATAAGTGTCCAACACTGGCCTGTGAAGTTTAGGTACTTCACTGTGTTGGGTTCATGAGAAGCCCCTTGTTTTGGAAAGATTATCTCAGTCTCTGAGGACTTCTTTAAGATGAGTTGGTTTTTACGCCTCAGATCTAAACATCCAATGGATTGAGAGGATTGTTAAGTCTGAAATTCCTTACCCTGCCCTGATGGAAGAGAACATTTTTGTTGTTTTTAATTTAAGATCTGTCTTTTCAAGATTTCCAATTCTGATAACTTGATAAAGTGACTTTTTTTCGTTTATTTTATTAATTGTTATTGGTAGTTGTAAATATTTAAATTAAAGGTATAGTTTGCCCTAACCTCTTTGGGCAAAGCAATTCAAAAAGTAGTTTGGAGTTAGAAAAGAATAAGAATCTTTAAGAAGTCAGTGATCAATGATGGTAATAACAGTTTTAGTTGACCAAGTTATAGACATTTAATATGGGCCATGTTTTACTTAAGTCATAGGTTTTTTTTTGTTTTTTTTTTTTTTTTTTTACTGGAAGATATTTACTACATATGTGGCTGATTATGAGGTACCTGAATATTAGGTACTCCTTCATTTTCCAAATAAGAGAATCTATAAAAAAGAGTTTTAATCCACTTTCCAACTCCAATTGCTTTTGTGTACATACATTTTTAGGGATAGAGATGTATGCCTTTGTATTTCTTTTAATAACTTAGACACAATTAGAATCACATAGAAAGTAAAAGTTAATTGACAAATACAGCTTTTTCCCACTCCTAACATTTTTTGAAAGAGTATTATCAAACTCTTCAAATGCACTTTTGATATCAGTGACTTTGTTATTATTAGAATGTTAACTCACTTTTTGAGTCATATTACAGTTTTCTGGTCTTTATATCATCTTCATTTCCTTCTATGTTTGCGATATTATACTTTTTCAATCTGTTAATAGTTTGTTGTTGTTAGGTACTGTTGAGTCGATTCCTACTCATAGCCATTCCATGTGACAAAGTAAAACTGCCTCATAGGATTTTCTTGGCTGTAATCTTTATGTAAGCAGATCGCCAGGTCTTTTCTTAGGCAGAGCCGCTGGGTGGGTTCAAATGGCCAACCTTTTGGTCAGCAGCTGAACGCTTAACCATTCGTGCCACTAGGGCTCCTATTTATGGTTTAGTCGCTGGATATTTTATCCTAAATATAGGGCTCCTATTTATGGTTTAGTCGCTGGATATTTTATCCTAAATCCCAAGGACTCGTTCATATAATGTTGTTGTGTTGTTCTTAGGTGCTGTCGAGTTGGTTCTGACTCATAGTGACAACAGGGGGAAACACTGCCCGGTCCTGCACCATCCTCGTGATCGTTGTTATGCTTGAGCCCATTGTGCAGCCACTGTTGTCAGTCATCTCACTGAGGGCTGACACAGTGGACATGTAACATTATTGTAATTTTATTTGTCTGGTGGTTGTATATTTGTCATCACCTTGATATGACCACTTGAACTATTTTTTTTTTTTTGAGTGCTCCCTTAAAAGAATTGTTTTTAATAATAATTGGCAGTTGCAATTGTTAGGTCCTATACCTAGAAACTCATAGAATAGACTCGATGGCAACAGGTTTGGTTTATACCTAGAAAGGAGCCCTGGCGGCACAGTGGTTAAATGCTCAGCTGCTAACCGAAAGGTCAGCTGTTACGACCCACCAGCCACTCTGCAGGAGATAGATGTGGCAGTGTGCTTCTGTAAAGACTACAGTGTTGGAAACCCTATGGAACAGTAGTACTGTGTCCTACACAGTCGCTATGAGTCAGAGTCCACTCGATGGTAGTAAGTTTGTTTTTTTTTTTTTGGTTTTATACCTAGAAAAACTTACATCTGTGTTAATTTTTTTTTTACTTGATTGTTAGTTACTCTTTTAATCATCCAAACTACATTGATTTAGATAATTTTATTCTAATGTGCCTTCCATAATTAGGACTTTGTTTCAAGATAAAGTCTCACGTTTGAAAGACATCCTGTAATGTGAGAGACATTGTAAAGACGAGGTATAAGGTGACTTCATTTTTGAGGGGTGATTTTTTTGGGAAAAAAGTTGTGACTTTTTCCCCAAGTTTTCTGAGTTTGGATTTTCTGCATATAAATTTTAAGTGATTTAGTTGCATTCTTAATATGGGAAAATAAATTCAGTAATGAATACATTCTACTTAATAATGTTTATATCATGTAATTGCATGGCATTGCTTGGCCCTGAAAGGGTTGGGAGTGTGTGTGTGTGTGTTGAGTTGAGAATGGTCTTCTGTCCTTTTTAGTCAGTCTGCTTGTTGACTAAGGAGCTCCGGTGGTGCAGTGGTTAAAACACTTGGCTGCTAACCAAAAGGTCAGTGGTTCAAACCCACCAGCTGCTGCACAGGACAAAGATGTGGTGATCTGCTTCCACAAAGAGTTACAGCCTTGGAAACCTTACAGGGCAGTTTTTCTTTGTCCTATAGGGTCACTGTGAGTTGGAATTGACTTGAAGGCATGGGTTTGGTTTTGGTGGGTTGTTGGCTGTTGGGGTTGTTCTTAATAATTGAGTTCACACCATCGATTCTTCCCTCTTAAAGTAGAACACCTTATTTGGGAAATACCAACTTACTAATTTTTCATCTTAGTTTAGGATTATAGAAGTTCAAAATAATGTATTTGTAACACATTATAACATTAGTACTAAGATTATTAATAAAGATTGTTGATAAAATAAATTTAGAGAATTTAGTTTAAATGTTAGTGACAAATAGAACTGAATAAACTAAAGTTTTTACAAGATGCCTATAAGTTATCCACCATCCTTTCTAAATAAATTTGATTTCAAATAAAACTAGATCACTGTGTAAGTGGAGGGGATACTTGTTGATTCTCTTGTATTAAACAATAAGCTCCTTTCACCTGGTTAGAATGTATCCTCCCTGTGCTGCTCCTCCCCCGCCAACACACGCACAGAGCTGACCACACAACTTTTGAGCCACTCCTTTAATTTATATCTCATTCATTTATTATAGTGTAGACTACACCAATATTATAATAATATATGTACAAGTCTGTCTCTTCTACTAGACTGTGAGTGCCTTGAGTGCAGGGATTTTCTTGCTCATTTTCTGCTCACCAGCTGTCTAGCACAGGCCTAGAGCTGAGTCCACACTCAGGACTGGTATTGGAATCAACACTCAAATACTATGCTCACCCTCACCTCAACAATTTCATAGATTAATGGGGTAGAATGACTTGAACAATTAATTCCAGTAGAATGAAATAAGTACTGTAGTACTAGGGATATGCATGAAGGGCTTTGAGAACACAGACGAGGCAGTGATGCTGAGGCATGCGATTGTATTGTGTAGCTGATGGAGTGGCCAGGAAACATTTGAAACATGGAGGGTACTTACAGAAATAAAATCTGGACTATGTGAAGGCCCTTCATGACAAGGTTCGTGTGTGCGTTGACACCACCCTGGCTAGTAGTGCGACTCAGTGTGTCTCAGGTATTACCTGTTAAATGCAACACGACTGCAGATAATTTTCTTTAAAGTGTAGGAGTTAACAGAAATTATAAAGTTTTTGGCAGTGAAGAAAATATTTTGAATTATCCTTTAGGAATATCTTTGGGTGTGGTTCATTACAGCAGTGGGACTCTGCAGGGCTTATGGGGCTTATGTCATGGCAGGTGCTGATCTTTGCTTTGTACCTGGCTAATTCCCTAGAGATGTAGCACTGTCACCCCTTTCCATTTAGTAGTGTCTTGTTACAGAGCTGAGGATGTTTCTTCAATTGCTTTTGCAAAGCTAGGCTTCATTACTTGCCTTTTTTGCCTTTAAGTGAAAGAAAAGCAATTCTAGCTGATAGCATCCAGAAATCCTTTTAATGCTCCTGTTTCATCTTTAGATAGAAAATATTATAGCGTTTTCTAAGAATAAAGATTATTTTAAACACAATTTTTAAAAATTTTTTTATTGTATTTTACATGAAGGTTTACAGAACAAATAGTTTCTCATTAAACAGTTAATACTTGTCTTATGACATTGGTTAACAACCCCACGACACGTCAGCACTCTCTCCTCTTGACCTGGGGTTCCCTATTACCAGCTTTCCTCTCCCCTCCTGCCTTCTAGTCCTTGTCGCTAGGCTGTTGTGCCGCATTAGTCTCGTTTTGTTTTATGGGCCTGTCTTATCTTTGGCTGAAGGCTGAACCTTGGGAGTGACTTCATTACTGAGCTAAAGGGTGTCAGGGGGCCATACTCTCAGGATTTCTTCAATGTCTGTCAGGCCAGTAAGTCAGGTCTTTTTTTGTGAGTTAGAATTTTGTTCTACATTTTTCTCCAGCTCTGTCCGGGACCCTCTATTGTGATCCCTGTCAGAGCAGTCAGTGGTGGTAGCTGGGCACCATCTAGTTGTACGGGACTCAGTCTGGTGGAGGCCGTGGTAGTTAATGGTCCCATTAGTCCTTTGGACTAATCTTTCCCTTGTATTTTGTTTTCTTTATTCTCCCTTGCTCCTGAAGGGGTGAGACCAGTGGAGTATCTTAGATGGCTGCTCACAGGCTTTTAAGACCC